ATACCATTTATATGCCCATGTTAACATGGGCTAGTGTCGGCTCATATACCCATTTACCTAACACCCTGTTTCATAACGAAACAAAACATTGTAAAGATTATGTGATAAATCTTGGCTAGCTAGCAGCATCACATCTATACAAAGTTACTCTATGGCTAACCGTATCTGATTGGTTGATTAAATGAGCTTAAGGTACAGTATTTACTTTAATTGGGTTATTTATTTTTATCATACAGAAAATGAAGAAACGAGAGATACCATTAGCTATGATTAGTCCACACTATCTAATGCTATTGTTTTCTATACATTTGAACTGAATTAACCTCCAACTTACGGAAAATAGCTCTTCAAAAACCTTTCCTATAAGTTTAAAACGTTTTGTTCTTACAATAAAGGAACGCCTTAACGTGCGAACCTTTATGCCGTTGACAGTAACAAATCTAGCACAAATGCAATGTGTACCTACACAGTGCAGGAACGGATATTGTGCATCCACACCGCGTCGCAGCACAGAAGGGCGGAAACTAAGTCTGAATAGTGTAGAACATGTCACGAACATATTGCATTTCTAGATCAGAACTGTGACAACTCAAAAATACTAAGGTATTTATGACTCCTGCTATACGGGTGATACGAACTTATTGCATTCCTAGATCAGAACTGTGGCAACTGAAAAATACTACGATATTGTGATTTACGTTCCGTCCGATAAGCGCTAGTGTCCGAATATTTAATTTACTTACCGATAAAAGTTCTTATCTGACTAATAAACAAGAAACCCCGGAGGCACCCAGTAAATTAATCGTAAAAGTGGCACGGGCAGATATTAGAGCCAGCAATAAGAAATAGTCTCCACCGTGTAACAAATTGCTGGATCTTTCAAATTCTTTAAGCGGTAAATTAAAGTTGGTACGATGGAGTCATTTTTCACTGGAAGCAATGACGAAAATAACAGACATTTGAAACAGATGCGGTGCTTAGATTCGGCAGAAAATAAATTTAGGTCATTATTAGTCAGTCGCAATTTTCAGTGTTAGGGAAAATTATCGGGAAAATTAAGTAAGTAGTTATTGCAAATTGCATTGCAGTCTGGAATGCATGGCGGGCGGGTGTTTTTTTTCCAATTGAAGACAGTCTTTGGCTAAAAAAAAGTAATGTTTAGTGTGAGCCCAGTGTCATCTTAATATGATTTCTGTTAACGGTTTTGACGTAAGTAAAACTTTTTTATGCAATATTTTTTTGATGCGTAACAAGTCAGAGATTTAAGTGAAAGTTTACTACAAAAGTAATAACTTTACCCACAGAAATGTAAATAGGCATGTAATATTATGTCCCAGGACATACTCCATCTACAATTTTAATAAAATCAAATTCATTGCTACATTACTGAGCAGTAGTTTGTAACCATGTCATTTCATAAAATATCGCATTCACATAAAACTGTAACCGCAATGTAACATTGTAAGTACAGTGCAGTAACCGAAGACGTGATTTACTTAAGTTTAAGCCATTGGACTGTAACTCTAGACAGGTTGCTCCAGTTGTTTTATGAAGCATCATAAAATAATCTTACAATCGATTTGTTGAACTAATTTGGACTAGTTTATATCAATGTCAGCTGTCAATGGAATTGACTTGCACAAAAGTAATGTGACTGTTATTTTATTATCACTAAAAGTAAAGAACACATTTTTGTCAGGTTCATTATAATGCAGCATAATCAATTGGTAAAGCACCCATGATCTAAGCAGACACAGGTCCGAGTAGGCTTTTGAATATTTATGATTAAATATTGAACTTCCACCAGAATAAATTCTCTACTTACTGTTAATATAAAAATAATTATGGAAGCTCCGATAAATATTTTTTGCCACGCTACGCTGCGAATAATTTTTCATTAAACCTTTTGTCCAATGAATAATAAAACGCGTGGCCGAACTGGAATTTTGTTTTTTCCACCACACGTATATTTTGAGCGAAATTGAAAACAGTAGGTAGGTACTTATAGTGATGTGATTGACAACTATTCATTAGTCCGGAACTGTGCCGCAATCGATTCCGCGCATCGGAAATTTCATTAATTCCGCAAAGAGTGAAGTTTGGCTGCGGGGTTCTGCCGGCCTAGTGATGTAGGCACACGGTGCGGGAATTATTAAATTAATTGAATATTCGCGTTTGACTGTAAATAGCCTAATTTGAAGTTTGACATAAATCATGTTGCAGTGGTCGTGGATTTGATTTTACTTGGTCACGGTAATACTATCTATACAGTATTCCAACTCGGCCATATTTTTGAAATAAATGTCAATAGCCCCGCGGTACGTCACGGTATGACAACATGCGATAGGGCTGCCCACCTACAGTACCCATTCTAATTACGTCTGTCTACTTAGAATTTCTATCTAGTTTTGTGATTGTATTTTTTTTTATTTAGACAAACAAAATAAATGTGAATGGAATAGGATAAAAATGCGTGTTGTTTTGTGTTAGTAGATTTAATTTAAAAAAATATACTAAAATAATTTTGAATCTACTAATCATAATGAGTACTTAATGACCTGTTACTTTAATTTCAGGCGGATGAAGTCGTGGGCAAAAGCTGGTTTAATACAATATAATTTTTATTTCAAATCAAACTGACTAAAAATGACCATTTTTGACTGTTAATAACTTGTTTTTGACAAATTTGACCGTAAATGACGGTAGTCAAATTCAATCACCTTAGTTATTTTCAACACTAGCTAGGCCATCCGACGTCCGTTCGGCACATTCGCGACACCCCTAACCCTAACTTTTGGATTTCGACCGCGTCCCGAGATTTGAAATTCGAAGGAAAGCTCGCGTTTCGTCGGTTTATATGAAGTTATAATACTGTATGATATTATTACCGTGACATGGTTTACATATTCTGGCTAGCACCAGTAAAATGACAACATCATTTAATTGATATTACTTTTAGGTATGTTATTACCTTTAGGTACTCTGAAAGTATGAAGTTCCAAATCTAATATAATTTCTTACTCATCGTGTCGACGTATTTTTTTTTATGTAGAGTCGACTGAACATCATAATTCTAATATGCGAGTAAACTTACTCAATAGATTTTCATTTACATTAAATCTTTTCAAATAATTTCTATATAATACGTTTCTATTCGGTCGTAGAGAACCTTAGCTTTTTAGAGGGAGAAAGCAGACGAATTCCTGGTCTGTTTTACTCAGAATTTTCTCCAAAACATTTTAGTTCATTTTATTAAAATAAACCTGTTTAATTAAATGAAATTGTTCCCCTCATTACTGCCATCGGAATTATCAGGGTATTTGTACAGTGCGCCGGGTTATTTCATTAATTTAAAAACTTTCTCTAGGAAAATGAACATCTTCGAACTTCAAGATGATTCGGGTAGGTACTCAATAGAGGAAGGAAAGTTTTAGCAGAATTGTCTGGGCGAAGATACTAAACTATGAAGTACGTACTATGTAGAGTAAATAAGGAACTATTCGCTAGATGCAACTTTAGTTGAAGTTTCAATGTTTAAGTTGATTAATATGCCTACTTGTTGCAGAAATTAGGATTTAGTTGTTGCTAAACTGTTATCGATATTCTATCGAAACTCGAGTGACAGTTTCTATGACTGTGCTTTGTCTTCAAAAATTAATAGTTTTCAGTTGCAGAGCGTAAAATAAAACAGTCTTAGCTAATCTTACTTGTCAAAAAGTCTGAAGTCTAAGACCTAGCTAGAGTAATCATTATCAAAAGAAGTTAGCCTGGGACTGCCATTAAATAGTCGCCCATATTGATCGCGGCGTAGGCTACCTAATTTCAAAATTCACTAACAAAGGGTGGCACTTTGGTATGTAGTGCAAAGAAAATGAATTGAAAAGAAAATGGCGCATCCTCCCGTAAGCCTTCAACATCTTCCTAAACTAGACTTTGTCGTAAACGATTAAGGACAAAATGATGATTAAATTACCGCGCCGGTTAGGATGATCAGTTTTTGATTGGATCCTGTTTGAAGCGGAATTAATTGTGTAAACTGTTCAAACTTCAATGAATTTTGTTCAGAATAACAGCCGGAATATTTTCTTGGAAGATCTCATTATAATGAGGACTACGAGAAATATACAACCCCTTACCTACCACCAGTTTCATGATTTCATCTTTCTGATAACAAGTTGTATTATTGCAACATAATATCTGCGTGTGTGCAATGTGTACTTTGATGACCACTCCACTGTACGAGAATAAATGCATTAGTGATTTTATTTATTTCTTCTATTACTTAAGTAGGTGAATAGATCCTTTTTTGTAAGACTAATAATTAATGGTGGAAATTATTTATAGAACTGACGTTTGAATTTATTATGATTTTCACTGTGTTGAACGTTATCCAAGTGACATAGTTTTAACGCAATCTTCAAACGCATTATTCGCAGTAATCACAAACTAAGTGACAAGTTTGCCCTTCATAAAGTTTTGAATAATTAATGTTAGTGCTACAAGTAATTATTAGATTAACGACACCCATTTTGTGATTATCTTGAATGTCATCTCTGACGCAGTTTAGTTAACTTTACCCTTCACTAGACAGACAGCTTTCAGTTCTACTAAAGCTTCGTTTTGTTATACTAAAGGTCGTTAAAATAATATGAATTGTACTTTTTTCGGTAGGTACTTAACATTATTATTTTTTATGTTTTATTAACCAGCTACTTCGCGAAAACTCTGTAGTGTCTTAATTCAACGCTTTTTAAAAACTAAAACGTTAGAAACCTTTGACAATATTGTGTCTCTGTGCTGTCGTTTAAAATATTCAAGGATTACCTAAAATAACAACGAAAAGGTTGCTCGCAAAATTAGAAAAGATCGAACGTTTTCAACTTTTAGGCAGATGCCGTGAATAATGCAGTTTACTCTTGCGTAAAAAATCGGCTCGAGAAAAAAAAGGTCAAAGGGTGGCAAACACATGGAGTGTAGGTATTATAAAAAGATAAACTTACGCAATGCGGTCTGTACAGAAGTTCTCGTGCAACTCCAGAGCAAATGGAAGAATCCGACGAAACGCTGCCAAAACGGGACCCTTTCCGGAGACTGATCGTCCGAAAATGTCACCCTTTTCTTCGCATTGCTCCTAATTCTTTTGCCGTTCTTTTTATATTGCGCTAAACTCGACTTCACTTGTTTCACACTCACTCTCCGACTCACTTCACTATCACTCGATCCTTCACCCACTACATTCTTCACCATTTGTTTATCGTTAACGTAAAGCGGTCTTTCTTTAACATTGTGTTTGATCCCACCGATATCTTTCAGCTCCGTTTTAGCTGCTGCAACTACACATTTATTTATATGCGGTTGTGTTTCTGAACAATACTCTCAGACTGCATTATGATTTGTAACAAGTTCACGACACGTTGGCGCATGTTCAAATCAGACTTCAAAACGTTTAAATACGCCCTAAATATGTGATTTACACGTTACAAATCAATGAAGAACACTAAATGACAGTACGGAGATTGTTTATGATGCCACTTGTTTAACAACACTCGTACTATACGAGAGCCGTAAGAAACAAAACTAAGAAGTTTGGTTCGGTGCCAAGCTTTTATTAGGCGACAATTTAGACACGATCCAAATGTAAACTAGTCCAAATTATAGTGTTTGTTTAATTAATTTTCGAAGGAAATCCTCGCGGTGTTTACTTTATTAGTTCACCTCGCAGATGGTGCCCGTATATTGCTAGGCGAATGTTATCCCGGTGACTGGGAGATTTACGATAATTACGTTTTGCATTCAATTTATAAGCGTAACAAGATTATGTTATGGTAATTATGCTTTATAATTAACATGCCACGGAACAAAAGCTTTATTTATAAACAAAAATAATGAAAACATTTGATCAAATAAGAACTGCGTTTGTCACNAGACAAAATATATGTTTTATAAACACTTAAGAGTCACTTACAGTAGTAAAGTTTGAAAAAATTATTGCTGTGATGTACAGAATCACTTTCGTGGCATCAAAAAATTCAAAACGTTAAATCTTCCAAACGAGACTCACTATTTGACTGATTTACTGAGAATACAATCTTCACATCAAGCGCTACAATTTTTGTTTACAAAAAGTTGAAATAAGTTAGAAATAAAATTCGCCACGAAGGTGACGATGAGAACCGTGGCGATGAGAAATAGCCATGAGTGTCACAAACATATTGCTATCCTAGATCAGAACTTTGACAACCCAAAAAACAGCTTACACTTTTACGCGAAATTATTCTTTAACTTTAGCACTAGTGGACGAATATTTTCATTTACTTATCTAAAGCCAATTGTATCACCATAATTTCAGTCACAAAAGACATCCACTGTTGAACATGGTCCACCTTGCGGGTGGACGTCCTACGCTGCCAATTTAAAGCGTTTGTTAGTCGTATACCTCGAAATCAAAAAATCCTTGTAGCTTTTCACCTATTCGCATTTCACCGTGATAGCGTTTTTTGTTGTAGCGTGTAATATCGGTAGTATATTTTGTTACTAGCATATATTTTTAACAGATTTTTACAACAGTAGCAAATTTTGATGTAGCATGTATTATCAATAGCCTATTTATTAAGCCGACACAGGCAGGAAAGTAAATCTACTATGATTTTTTTAGACAATTGTAATAAGCGATCAAAAATTATATTACAAGAATAAAAATCTATTCAGAAATTTTGATATCACGGCGAAATGCGAATAGGTGAAAAGCTACAAGGATTTTTTGATTTCGAGGTATACGACTAACAAACGATTTAAAGTATCTGAATATTCTACAAGGTGATCATAATTGGTCTAGCTAGACTCATATCTTGGTAAGAAAGGTTACTAGTCAACTGTAAATAAAATCAATATGAATTGTGTCAGTTTATAACAGAACGCAGTACAGACCGAAGTAGCAGAGTAAGTAGAGACCCTTATTGTCGAAGACCAAGACTCATATTGGGTCGCTGCACCAGCTTAGTAAGTAAGACAGCTTATACCATGTCATGCATTTTTAATGCATAATAGGGCAGGTATTTGATCACAATCGCACCTGGTGTTAAGTGGGATCCAGCTCTAGGATGTTTGGAAAGAAAACCGAGTAGAGACCTCGGAGGCGCCCAGTAAATTAATCGTAAAAGTGGCACGGGCAAATATTAGAGCCAGCAATAAGAAATAGTCTCTACCGTGTAACAAATTGCTGGATCTTTCAAATTCTTTAAGCGGTAAATTAAAGTTGGTACGATGGAGACATTTTTCACTGGAAGCAATGACGAAAATAACAGACATTTGAAACAGATGCGGTACTTAGATTCGGCAGAAAATAAATTTAGGTCATTATTAGTCAATCGCAATTTTCCAGTGTTAGGGAAAATTATCGGGAAAATTGAGTAGGTAGTTATTGCAAATTGCATTGCAGTCTGGAATGCATGGCGGAATTATTTTTTTTGCAATAGAAGACAGTCTTTGGCTAAAAAAAAGTAATGTTTAGTGAGCCCAGTGTCATCTTAATACGATTTCTGTGTGCCTACCATGAGTTTACGTTAGGTGTGCTCGCTAGCGACTGCGTAAAAAAATGACATTTAAATGTATGACATATTGTGCAGCGCCCCTAGCGGCTACTTTCAAGAAATAAAATCTTCATAGAATTTTTTGACGTATTCGCTAGCGAGCTCACCTAACGTAAACTCATGGTAGGCACACTGTTAACGGTTTTGACGTAAGTAAAACTTTTTTATGCAATATTTTTTTGATGCGTGACAAGGCAGAGATTTAAGTGAAAGTTTAATACAAAGTAATAACTTTACCCACAGAAATATAAGTAGGCATGTAATATTATGTCCCAGGACATACTCCATCTACAATTTTTATAAAATCAAATTCATTGTTACATTACTGAGCAGTAGGTACATAGTTTGTAACCATGTCATTTCATAAAATATCGCATTCACATAAAATTGTAACCGCTATGTTTGATTGTAAGTAGAGTGCAGTAACCGAAGACGTGATTTACTTAAGTTTAAGCCATTGGACTGTAACTCTAGACAGGTTGCCTGCTCCAGTTGGTTTATGAGGCATTATAAAATAATCTTACAATCGATTTGTTGAACTAATTTGGACTAGTTTATATTAATGTAAGCTGTCAATAGAACTGACTTGCACAAAAGTAATGTGACTGTTGTTTTATTTCTTTGTAATTTATCACTAACAGTAAAAAATACATTTTCGTCAGGTTCATTATAATGCAGCATAATTAATTGGTAAAGCGGCATCTAAGCAGACACAGGTTCGAGTAGGTTTTTGAATATTTATGATTAAATATTGAACTTCCACCAGAATAAATTCTCTACTTACTGTTAATATAAAAATAATTATGGAGGCTCCGATAAATATTTTTTGCCACGCTACGCTGCGAATAATTTTTCATTAAACCTTTTGTCCAATGAATAATAAAACGCGTGGCCGAACTGGAATTTTGTTTTTTCTACCACACGAATATTTTAAGCGAAATTGATAACAGTAGGTAGGTACTTATAGTGATGTGATTGACAACTATTCATTAGTCCGGAATTGTGCCGCAATCGATCCCGCGCATCGGAAATTTCATTAATTCCGCAAAGAGTGAAGTTTGGCGGCGGGGTTTTGCCGGCCCTAGTGATGTAGGCACACGGTGCGGGAATTATTAAATTAATTGAATATTCGCGTTTCACGTCACAAATACCGCAGTGTCTCAAGACAAAAGTCTTCGAGCAGTGTGTGTTGCCAGTGATATATGGATCTGAAACGTGGTCGCCTACTATGGGCCTCATAAGAAGGCTCAAGGTCACCCAAAGGGCGATGGAGCGGGCCATGCTTGGAGTTTCCCTGCGTGATCGAATCGAATCAGAAATGAGGAGATCCGCACGAGAACCAAAGCGACCGACATATCTCGCAGAATTGCTAAAATCAAGTGGCAGTGGGCGGGGCACATAGCTCGTAGAGACGATGGCCGTTGGGGCAGAAAAGTTCTCGAGTGGCGACCACGGGCTGGAAGACGTAGCGTGGGCAGGCCTCCTACTAGGTGGACCGACGATCTGGTAAAGTTCGCGGGAAGAGCCTGGATGCGGGCAGCGCAGGACCGTGCATTGCGCAAAACCTTTGTCCAGCAGTGGACGTCATTTGGCTGAAACGAACGAACGAACGATTCGCGTTTGACTGTAAATAGCCTAATTTGAAGTTTGACATAAATCATGTTGCAGTGGTCGTGGTTTTGATTTAACATGGTTTACATATTCTGGTTAGCACCAGTAAAATGACAACATTATTAAATTGATATGAACCTTTAGATACTCTGAAAGTATGAAGTTCCAAATCCAATATAATTTCTTACTCGTCGTGTCGACGTATTTTTATGTAGAGTCGACTGAACATCATAATTCTAATATGCGAGTAAACTTACTCAATATATTTTCATTTACATTAAATCTTTTCCAATAACTTCGAATATAATACGTTTCTATTCGGTCGTAGAAAAGCTTAGCTTTTTAAAGGGAGGAAACAGACGAATTTCATGTTCTATTTCACTCAGAATTTTCTCCAAAACATTTTAGATCATTTTATTAAAATAAACCTGTTTAATTAAATGAAATTGTTCCCCTCATTACTGCCATCGGAATTATCAGGGTATTTGTACAGTGCGCCGGGTTATTTCATTAATTTAAAAACTTTCTCGAGGAAAATGAACATCTCTTCGAACTTCAAGATGATTCGGGTACTCAATAGAGGAAGGAAAGTTTTAGCAGAAATTGTCTGGTCAAAGATACTAAACTATGAAGTACGTTATATGTAGAGTAAATAAGGAACTATGCGTTCGACGCAACTTTAGTTGAGGTTTCAATGTTTAAGTTAATTAATATGCCTACTGGTTGCAGTAATTAGGAATTTGTTGTTGCTATATTATCGATATTCGAAACTCGTGTGACAGTTATGTCTGTGCTGTGTCTTCAAAAATTCATAAGCGACAGTTTAAGCGTTTTCGGTTGCAGAGCGTAAAATAAATCATTCTTAGCTAATCTTACTTGTCAAGACGTCTGAATGGCAGTGCCGTCTAGTGTCCATCGTAGAATAATTATAGTTGTCAAAAGAAATTAGTCAGGGACTGCCATTAAATAGTCGCCCATAATGATCGCGGCGTAGGCTACCTAACTTCAAAATTCACTAACAAAGGATGGCACTTTGGTATGTAGTGCAAAGAAAATGAATTCAAAACAAAATGGCGCATCCTCCCGTAAGCCTTCAACATCTTCCTAAACTAGACTTTGTCGTAATCGATTAAGGACAAAATGATTATTAAATTACCGCCGGTTAGGATGATCAGTTTTTGATTGGATCCTGTTTGGAGCGGAATTAATTGTGTAAACTGTTCAAACTTCAATGAATTTTGTTCAGTATAACAGCCGGAATATTTTCTTGGGAGATCTCATTATAATAAGGACCACGAGAAATATACAACCCCTTACCTACCACCGGTTTCATGATTTCATCGTTCTG